AGGGAGGGCAGGAAATATTCTGTAGCCATCCCCTGGCCACAGGACACAAAGGGGAAGGTGTCACCTCACCAGTCGTTGCTGTCAAGGCACTGGAGGGCGTCCATCAAGCCCAGCTCTGGGTTTGAGAAAGGCCTCAATTCCTTAAAGGCTCGAAGCTCCATCTCCTCATCCTCCTCTTCCCACTCAGGAGACCACAACGTAAGCACCGCAGGTAATGAGTTAGCTGCGTTCACAGAAAAAAAAGGGAACACTGGAGCTTTCACCAAGAGGACCCGAGGCTTGGCTCACAGCATGGAGCCCACCCTACTGGGCATAGAGGAGAAGGGGTTGGTGAGGGCTGAAAAGCCGGCGCCTGGGCTCTGCTGCCTGCGGTGCCACAGGGACCACCTAACTTTACCTTTGGTTGACTTTTCCTGCCTTTGTCAACCTGATTATTATTATAAACAAACTGACCTGTGATCTGCAGCTTGATGTTATGTGACCGAACCCACCAAGGCAGTAATAGACCCCTAGTCCTGCCCTATCTGTGGTTGGGATGAGGCCAGTAAATCTGTCAAGGAATGACTCCTCTACTCACTTTGGTGGCACTCTAACCTCCTCCCCACCCAGGAGCCTGCGTTATCAGCTTCCCTTCCTTCCCCCTCACTCTCTGTCTGTCTGTGAATTTGCCTGCGGTGGGGAAGCGATGTGAAGGCAGGGCGGGGCGGGAGGAAGCTGGAGACAGTGAAAGCAGCAAGGAGACAAGGTGGCTGTCTCCTTGGTACCTGTGTGGTCAAGAAGTGGCCACACCTGCAGGGACTGGCAATAAGCAGACATGTTGTTTAAAATTCAGTTCCTGTTTCCTAGGCTCTCCTTCCTTGGGGACACATGCTAGAATCATAAAAATCCCAGAGAACAGGAAAGCAATTTAGAGGCCATCTATCTCTCCCAATGCCCTGATCACATAGTTGAGGCATAGGAGGTCGTGCAGCCTAACAGACCCCACCCCCAACAGTCCCTCAACTCCTCTGTCAACAGAGCCAAGACAAGAAGGTCTCCTCCAAGGCCAGAGCTCTCACGGCCAAACTCACTTCATCTCCACTGGCATGGTTGTCACCCTGGCATACTCAGGAGGTCCTGGTAAATCTGAGTTGACAGGCAGTTCTTTACTTAAAGCTAAACACAAAGACCTCATTCCTGCATTTTGTTCTCAGCTCTGCCATTGGAATAAGAGTCATTAGCCAAAATCTTAGTCCCTGCAGGCCACCTTCACCTCGACTGATCTTGGGTCACCATGAGTCTCTGGGTCTCAGTTCTGCTGTATAAGATGAGTGGGGTGGATTAGATAGATCGATATTTCCCAAATATCAACCATTCAATTACTACTTTTATGGTTTTTGCCATATCTCTTAATTATCTCTACTTTTATTTATATATTTTTCTTCAAATCAAACTCACTTTGGTGGCACTCTAACCTCCCCTTTTCGAATCCTACGTAAGTTATTTTAAAGAGAAATTTATGTCACTACTGCAATTGATAAACTCATATTATTTGTCACAGAAAATGATAAATACTTACAGTAAAAGAACATTATAAGTTCTACCTGTAAAATAATAGCCACCTTCTGATGTTTCAAGCCTAAAGGAAGATCTCTTTGTTTAAAAAGAATATTTGCTGATCCAATCAAAAAATGGGCAGAGGACCTGAACAGATACTTCTCCCTAGAGGACATACAAATGGCCAACAAATATATGAAAAGATGCTCAACACCGCTAGCTATTAGGGAAATGCAAATCAAAACCACAATGAGATACCATCTCACATCTGTTAGAAAAGCTTTAATCAACAGGACAAGTAATAACAAATGTTGGAGAGGATGTGGAGAAAAAGGAACCCTCATACACTGCTGGTGGGACTGCAAATTGGTACAGCCACTATGGAACACAGTATGGAGGTTCCTCAAAAACTAAGACTTGATCTACCATATGATCCAGCAACCCCACTACTGGATATTTACCCCAAAGGCTTGAAAACCCATTTCCAAAAAGATATTTGCACACCGATGTTCATAGCAGCATTATTCACAGTGGCCAGGACATGGAAGCAATCAAAGTGTCCTACGATAGATGATTGGCTAAAGGAGCTGTGGTACATATGTACAATGGAATATTACTCAGCCATAAGAAGAGATGAAATACTGCCATTTGCAACAACATGGATTGACCTCGAGGTAATCATGCTAAGCAAAATAAGCCAGACAGAAAAAGTTAAAAATCACATGATATCACTTATATGCTGGATATAAACCTAAAAGCAACAAATGAACAGGACAAACAAACAGAGACTCACGGACATTGACTATAGACTAGTGGTTACTAGTGGGGGAGTAGAGGAGGAGGTAGATGGAGTAAAGGGGGTCAAATATAGGGGGTAGGGGGAGGGTAAAGTGGGTAAAGGGGATCAAATATATGGTAGCTGAAGGAAACTGGACTTTGGGCGGTAAACACACAATAGAATATACAGATGTCAAATGATAATGTACACCTGAAAATTATATAATTGTATTAACCAATGTTACCCCAATAAACTTAATTTAAATAGATAAATAAATAAATAGAGAGATAGATAGATAGATAGATAGATAGATAAAAAGAATATTTGCGAGTCTTAAGAGGTGCTAAAGACTAGCGAAAATGAAGACTTTCTGCCTGATAGAATCGGAAGGATAGAAAGAGAACGGAAAAGGCAGCGAGTCGATACTATTTCTGGCACGAAGACGATGCTCTGTTTACCCCTCATTGTCACACCATATCCCACACTTAAAGAAACTCTGAACCAGGATGGCAGTTTTCCAATGCTTCTTGGTAGCGAAATCATTTCGAGTGCAGTCTCACGTGGATGCCCGGTGTACAAAAAGGGCAGGCAAGAGAGGCGTTCCCCTCCCGAATGGGGACAGAGCCCCCCTTGCTTCTTGGCATTGTCCTGAGCACCCCATAGAAATTTGGGGTCCTGAGACCCAGTCCGTACCCAGCCCTGTCTGACACTTTATGAGGCAACATGCAGGAAACCAAGCCCTTCCCAGAACCCTCTCTTCCTCTTCCCAGTGTTTCCAGATACTTCTATGGATGCTATTTCCCAGCATCTATGGTCCTGGTGCGCTGGCGAGTCCTCTAGAACATGTCAGTCAGGTTGAGCACATCGATCTAGCCATCCACAGTGTCAGTTGTGATACCCTGGGTTCCCAGCCCGGACCATAGATGTTTTTATCTCCCAGACTCCGTGTCTCTTTCTGGTGAGGTGACCACACTCCAGGCTGCCCATACTCTAACGTGGGCAGAGCGGAGCAGAGCAGCCCAGTTCACTTTCGCCATGCCCCAAAGTGGGCAGCACAGTGAGAGGGATATGTGCCCCCTGCCAGCAGTTCTGGGCCCTACCTGAAGCATGGCGGGCAAAGCTGGGCTCTTGCTTGCTGACGGGGATGCTGGGCAGTGAGGCCCGGTTGGCCCGCTTCCTCAGGACGACACCGATGTTGTTTCTGCGTGGGCTGCTCAGCCCAGTGGGTACGGACAGGGTCCTGCTGCCCCGGAGAGGAAGGAGGCCTGCGGAGGCAGAGAAAACCCCCGCATGGAGCCGGTCTTGTCTATCCCCCAGCCCAAGGGTAGGCTACGAGAGAGCAGGTGTGGCTCCCTGTCCAGTCGCAGGACGGGGAGGGTGGGAAGCTGTGGCAGCATCTCTTTGGCCAAGGAGTTAGCCCAGAAGCTTCCGCAGCCTGCGGAAATCACGCCCCAGGCACGCAGTACCTTCCTTCATCAAGGTTCCCCGGGCGCCCAGGCCCTGCAACGTGTCTGGTTCCTTCATCCTTCGGAACAACTCCATCTCCCTCATCTGCTTCAGCCGCAGCTTCTCCTGGGCAGACTTGGAGATGGTGACCTGGATCTGGCACAAGGTCAAGGCAAACTCCATTACGGGGCTCGCGCTTAGAGAGCAGAAATGGAGATGGTGGAATGATCATTCCTGGCCCAGGGCTTTCGCTGATGTGTGAGGTGTGGATTGAGAGAGAAAGAGAAGGCAAGGAGGGGCCCACGAATTTTGGCCAGAGCGGATGGAAGGCTGGAGTTACCTTTTATTGCCACCCGCTGAGAGGGGACCCTGGGGAAAGGGAGGTTTTGAGGGGGGGCGGAGTAAGGTTTCAATAGCTGAGTTTTGAACAGAATAAGTTTGAAAGATAATTAGATATCTAAACAGGGATGGTAAGTAACAACATATGTATGTATTTATATAATTTAATTGCTACTTGAAGGTCTGGGCTGGAGAGGGAAGTTTGGGAGTCCTTGGCCTATACATGGTCCTGGTGCACTTAATGCTACAGACTGGATCAAGTCACAGGAGTCAATATACATGGACGAGAGGCCAGAGGTCTGAGCTCTGGGGGCCTCCAGTGTGCAGAGATCAGGAAGATGAGGAGGAGCCTGCAAAGGTCTAGAAAAGGGGCTACCTTTGGTTTAGTCAGAGAACCGAGAAAGAAGCCATCTCCCCCGCTCCATCCCTAGGTGAGGAATTCAGTGGGGGTGGGAGGGGACTAAAGCCTAACTGCAATCGTCTCAGGAGAGAACGGGTTCTGGTTTTTCAGAGAATTGTTCTGATTTTGTTTTGTTTTCTTAAGATGAAAGCAATAATAGAGAGCTAAGATGCTGATAAGAAGGATCCTGTTAATATCAAGGAGAATGTTGTTGATGCAAGAGAAGGAATAAATGTTGGAGCTGGCACATTAGACAGATTGAACTAGAATAATAGGAGATAGTGGTGAGCAAATGGGATGCGTGGACTGGAGATACCAGTGGGGGTCAAAGTCTTGCAGTGCCAAGGTCTATGATATGACCATGGGAGTGAATGGCTAAGATGAGGCAGAAGCTGAGATCATTTCACGGTCTCTGAATTATTCTTCCTTTGTTTCATGGTCTGTCACCTTACTGGAGTGGGAAGGCTGTAGGCCTGGACCTGATCTTCACCATCACTGGATCCCAGTCCGAACATAGTACATACAAATAGCAGGCCTCCAAGATATGTTTATTGCACTTTCATATCTCTGTTTCAAAGAAGGAGATCGAGTCCCCATAACAGGGACTCTCCCAGCTTTATTAGATTTATCCAGACTAGGGAAGAGAATCATGTGGGTCAAGGTCACCTTAGAAGTGCAAGCTATTTGTCAGCCTGTCAAGCGCAGCCTTTGCCTGATCTGTCTCTGCGTCAGCTGCCTCTCGGTTGTGCTATCTTGGGTGTTGGCTCAAATTACTCTGTTTGGTTCACCTAAGCCCCTCTGTACTCTACCAGGCATCCTGCTTCCTTCCGAACCAAGTGTGACCTCCTTCTGCCCTCCCTGCCTCCCTCATCCCCATCCTCAGCTCCCCACTGCGCTCTTCCCTTTACCTAGTGCCCCTCACTCCCCCATTCCTTCTCTCTCTGTTTCTCTTCTTTTCTTCAGCCTTCTCCCCAAGGCCACCTACAGATTCTCGCCTTAAATATTAGGGGCGGTTGCCTCCAGGCTCTACCTTGATCTCCTCAAGCTGGACCCACACTTGCATATTAAAACACACACACACACACACACACACACACACACACGCACACACACACACACACGCACACACACACACACACATTGTGTTCAGCCAGTGGTCCCCTCTGACCCTGACTTCCTCTTCCCCTCGCTTTCCAGATACCTTGCTGTTCTCCTTCTGGTCCTCTTCTTTTTGCAAGGGGTGGGCTTCTTTGGCATGGCCGAAGGAGAAGGCTGTCAGTATAGGAGCAGACTGAGATGAAGGCAGAGCAGGCTTCTCAGGGGCGACAGACCTGTCTCTGATGGGTGGGGCCGAAGGTTTTGGTTCTGAGGAGTCAAGAACAAGAATGGAGCTGAGGACACGCAGCACTCTGAAGCAGCAGCCGTCCCTTTGGGCTGTGCCTGAGGCTCTGTGACCCTGTGGTCCGTGTAATGCTTTATCGCCTGAGCCCTCCACCCTCAATTCTCCTGCCCGACATTCCCTTGACGGAGAAAGGCACAAGTGAAGTTTATTCTACAGAGTTGCACTGGTGGGCATAGAATGGGCCACCCAAGGACCAATATCCTCTTTTCATTCATACACCCGCTTATTCATTCATTCGATAATCACTGCATACCTTTTTCTAACACGGGGAAGGGGAGGGGAGGAAGCTGGGCAAGAAGCAGGGTCAGGTCTGTTGTCTAAGTGCTTTAAGATATTTCTTGAGAGTATAAATCTATCTTACCTAGTAGGTATGACGTCAGGAAATGAAAAAAAGTAAAATGAGCCTGTCTGAGACTATGACACAGTATGAAGGGGCTAGAGAACTAACATATGCTAATCTAATCCTCTCGCTTTACAGATAGGAAAGCTGAGACCCAGTGACCTTCAGAGGCTCTTGTGATTGAAAAACATACAAATTTATTTCTAAATGACATCAGATCCACAGTATTTCTTTGTCATTCTATATTTTCCCAATCAAATGGTTTTTAAAGTACATTTCTTATTATGGAAGCAGAGTGGTAGGGGGTAGATCCATCAGTTTTCTTTTAATGAAAAAAATGTTAACCGTGTTCTCCTGCTCACAGAGTTTGGAGCTCACCATCCTTGGATGAACCTGAAAATCTGAGCCTGGGGTCCCGACAGGGCTCCTGGGTCACCCTGGTCCTCTGTGCGGCCAGTGACTTCTATGAAGGATCCCCCTGCTGTCGTGCAAGGGGCACCTAAGACTCTGGAGGAGGATCAAGGGCCGAGGGGGAGGAGGGGCTGGCTAAGCTTCCATCCGCCCAGAGGTAAGAGACAGGGCAGAGGGCACAGGTGTCCAGGTTCCAGCAGACCGGAGCAAGGACCATGGCAATGCCACAAGGTTTGGGGAAGCCCTGAGCTTTAGACAATACCACACGAACCCCTATGTACTGCGTGTGTTATGCGTATTGGGCAATGTCGCCCCCAGCTGACAGCTGGAGGGTCAGGGAGCCCCCTAAAGACTGCTATTTCGTATCCCCCTTCCTCACCTATGCCTCCAAAAGACACTGTAGAAAGCCTGGTCTGAGCAGCCTGTCCCTGCCCCCACGACCCTGGGGACATGGCTCTCAAGCAGCATCTAGTCAGGCAGACGAGGGAGTGATTGTGGACTGGGGTGTCCTGCCACAGACCCCGACGCCAGCATTCCAGGGTTAGCCCTTAAGGGACACTCGGGTGCCAGTGTGCGTCATGTCAGACTGCCTGAGCTCACCCCGCTGTAGCCTGGCGTGGGGGCAAGGGAGACACAGTTGCCACAGAGGTTTCTGCCAGTCCTGCCTCTTGGGCCCAGCTGCACATCCTGATCCCGGGGCCTCTTGGGCAACAGCCTACCGCTCGCCAACTGACCCACCTGCTGAGCTGATTACAGAGTGGGCCGCCAGGAAGCTGGACTAGGAGTCCACCCCCCTTGCTGGCCAGCACAGCAGCTGCCTCCAACCCGCAACGGCCTGCAGCCAGGTGCAGGGTGCTCCGCCCAGGTCCCCTCACTTAACCTGCCCAGGGCTCAGCTTCCATTCCCCCCACCGCCCACCTCTCCAGTTAGGTCATCAGGCTGAAGAGCCTCCTCCACCCTCTTCTAAAGCCTCTCTGAGCCTCAGCCTCCTGCCTGGCCCCCTGCCTCACTTCCAGCCCTGTTAGCCCTATTCCCTGACACTGAAACCTTCCAGAACCAGCAGACTTAGGGGTTTATGGGGTGTGGTTTAACTTCTCTCTTTGTCTGGCTAGGAATACTCTCCTCTACTTGCTTAAAATAGAGCAGGGACAGCTGCACTATTTTGTCAAGAGTGCCAGCTTTGTAGCCGTGCAGACCTGATTGCAGATGTGATGGGGCTGGCTGCCTTCCACACTCTGAGACCAAGAAGGTCGGGCTCACTGAACCTCCGTCATCCGTTAATCTGTCAAATGGAGACAGAGCCTTCTTTCCCATGGTAAAGCTACACACACTGGTGCCCATCTACACACTGGCATAAGCATGGGCCACTAGCATGGCACAAGTGACAACCTCCCTGTTGTGAAATGAAGGGCTTGGGTCCCAGAGCTCTCAGATCTCCTCTGGCTCTAATTCTGATCCCATGACCCAGCCCTGGAACCCAGGAATTAAACGACAAGTTGGGGTGCATATGGAGAGTACATACCCAGAGATTTAGGGGTCTTCTCCTGAGGCCCACTCTCCCGAACCAATCTTAAAAGAACAGGGAGAGAAAGAAGCACCATGAAAGATGGCAAGGGAGAGATGTTGTTGGGAGGAGCCCAGAGTAGGTAGTTCAAGGATGGGGTGATGGCTGTGGTGGGGGACACTGCCAGGGCTGTGGGTGGCCCTGTAAAGAGGCTCTTGGCCAGGAGTTCAAAGCTACAGGATATGCAGCTCCTTCTGCAAACTCAAGGGCAGGCCGAGCGTCCAGACAAAGCTCCGAGCCCCATTTTATGACCGCACATCCCTTGATTCCCCAGGAAGCCGGTCTCCACATGGAAACTGTTGTCTTAAAGGAAGCCCCGTCCCCTGCTGTAACATCAGCAGGTAGGGGGTATAATCTCCGCCCAGTTCAGAGCACACTGAGCTCAAGTCCTCCAAACTGCTCCAGCCCGTGAGAGCTCTGTGACCCCTAAATTCCTCCTCCTCTTGGTAGTAATCCCCACTCCTCTGACTCCACGGGGGCTAGAGGGATTGACCTCCTTTGCTGCTGATGGTAAATTCCCACTGTTTGTCCTAGAGCTT